TTAAGTTATGAGCTAGTCAGAGAGGAGTCTAGCTATATGGCCTAGGTATTTGTAAATAATATTTTTGAGTCTCGTGAGTCTTTATCTGGTGCTTGGGGCTGGGAAGAAAACCACAGCATCCCTCAAGCTGTGTCATGTAAGGGGACTAGGCTGAAAGAAAGGCAATTCTATCTAGGTCAGAAAAACAATTGTGGCCATTTCAAAAGCATAGCTGATGGTAATTGAAACTTGAAGGGAGTTAGTGTTCCTGCATGCTTGCTGAATGTATACTGGAGACCTAGTCACTAGGCTGATGTCTGAACTCCAGCATATCACCAAAACCCCAGAGGTTCCTGTATCTGTGGAAATCCAAAGCATGGTTCCACAAAGGGAAAGTTTGTAAAGGGAGTTTGGGTCAAATTCATCATAGCTTACCAAAGAGTTGATGAAGCTTACTCTTGATAAAACCTGAGATATGGAGATGACAGAATTGTCAACATTTTGAAGTTCTTGATAAAATACTAGATTTAATCTATGAGAGATAACCACAAAAGCATGACAGCAGAATCAAGAGTGAAGGAACAAGCCAAATCAAGAGTGAAGGAACAAATCAATGGCCAAAAAAAGCACGCATGTTCTACAGAGGACCCGAGTTCAGTTCCCAGCACCCATGCTGGGCAGCGTGCCCCTCCTGTAACTCAGGGGAAACTGAAGCCTCCACAGGCACCTGCATTCATGTATATACAACCTCCCCCAAGTCAAGATAAAATAAATTGTAAAAAAATTAATTATAATTCTATTTGTAATTTCTAGGATAATAACAAAAGTAATAGTCATTTCCTAAAACACACACACACCAAAAACTCTGTTTAAAACCATTCTTTTATATGCTTTAGGAAAACAGGCTATTTTTGCAGTAGTCATTTTTAATCTTTTTAGAGAAAAATCCCATGATTAAAAAAAAAAAAAAAAAGCCAGGCACAGTGACACACACCTGTGATCCTAGCACTCTGGAAGGCAGAGGCAGGCAGATATCTGTGAGTTCAAGGCCAGCATGGTCTACACAGAGAGACCCTGTCTTGAAGAAAGAGAGACAGAGACAGAGACAGAGACAGAGGGAAAGAGACACAGAGAGAGACAGAGACAGACAGAGAGACACACAGAGAGAAACAGAGAGAGCTTTTGGTTTGGGTGCCAGCCCTGGCTAACGGCACAGGAGCTGCGCTCCTCAGCAGCATGCCTGGTTTCCTTGAACACTGGAGGGGTAATGCTACCAAGCGCTCCTCTCTAATAAGAACGTGCTGTCTATCGTAACCACCACCCTTGTGATAAATCTGGACATCTTCTCTTTGTTAGGTTAATGCTTTTCCACAGGATAATTTAACCAGTTCTCTAAAAAGCAATCAAATGCCATCAGGCCCCAATATAGTAATATGGTGGGTTTTTTTTAATTATTTTTATTTTGTTTTGGAGTCTCCTTTAAACAAATCCCATCCAGACAAATGCTCCATTTTTTGCTGGCACAAGCCTGTGCTGCTCTCGGTAATCAAGCCCCCAGCTGGCTAAATAACATATATCTTCCTGATTTCATTTGAGCAAAATTTATCATCCGCAAGCAAAGACAGAAAATGTGTGAATGTCTAAAGCTTATGTAAATTAAGAGGCCATGCACGCTGGTCCTAAAAATAGTAGATAATTATAGGCATTTCTTCCCCATACAATAATTATGGGCCTCCTGTCATCTTTCCTATTCTGTATAAGGTCACAGCAGTATTATACAAAATTTACAGTATATTACAAGTTAAAAACACAATAATTAGCAACTGTGCATCTTCAGCACTTGTGATGAATGTTCACAGTAAAAGTTTAAAAAAAGAGCATTATTTGTTTTATGTGGACAGTACACACTTAAATTTAATCATCAAGTCCTGGTACCCGATAGGCAATATTCTCTTAGTATTATAATGCTATTTGCCAAGTTCACAGTACACCCTTGGGTGGAATTCATCCTTAGCGAAGTGACAGAAGCCCAGATCGCTCACCGTGTCTCAACCAGGTGCACCATATTACTCTGAATTTAATAATTCTGTTGAGCATCTTGAATGATAATGAGCAAGCTAAAAGAAAGTACTGAGTCCAAATTTGACCATTATGATCAGCGTCTGATTCAGGAAAAAGAAAAAAAACATCATCTCACCAAATAGTGTGGGTTTGCTTGGTATGAAATTTCTCTCCAACCCCTTCCTTCGTTATTTTCTTTATGTAATTCATTGAGGGGTGAGAGAGAAGGCAGAATTCACAGACAGGCGGATTTCTCTTCAACTTCTTAGCTACTCTCATGAACAGGGACAAAGAGTCATAGACAATAAACAGCAAACGATGGGCCATCATTTCTAGTTTCCTGAAGGAAAGAGTCACAGAACTAGACACACTCATTTCATCCCTACCCAGTCTGGCATGCTGTGAGGAACGGGACAGGAGACAGTGGTAGGGTCTAGAAGCCCATCTGTTCCCACTGATGGCTATAGAGGTGTTTTCCCTACGGTCCATCCTGGAATTCCAGACGACCGCTATGAACAGGCACTTTCACTGCACCTGCTCAGAAGTAAAACAACCTTGAAGACCAGCATTCCTAGGGCAACCAGGAATTAAGCACAACCAATTGTTTGACTTTGTGTTTCAAGGCAACTAACTGACCAAGAGGCCAGCTTTGCCATTTACCTCCTAAAACATTTACCTCCCCATGCTGGGGAGATGTCTCAGCCAACAAATGCAAGACCCCGAGTCTAGACCCAAGCACTCACACAAAAGCTGTGTTGCTGTGAATCCAGTCCTGGGGAGGAGGGAGGGGAACAGGAGGATCCCTGGGCCAGTCAGTGTAGCTGACAGAGAAAGCCCCAGGGTCAGTTAGAGACCCTGATACAAAATATGGGGTGGACAGCAACTGAGAAAGACATTGGACATTAAGCTCGCCCTCCACAATTGTATACACACACACACACACACACACACAGAGAGAGAGAGAGAGAGAAAGACAGAGACAGAGAAGGCATTATGGAAACTGTTTCATGAGACTACAGGGTGGTCTCTCGTATGAAAGATGGACACACGCAAACAGCAGGAGTATAATTCACATATTTAATATGTAGCCTGGAGTCCAGGTCCACAGACTTGAGAAACACAAACACCAACGTTCTTCAAAACTAAAAGTGCAAATGTGTAAGGGCAGGAAAAGACAGACACTTCATCTCCAAGACTGAATTCACCCTCCCTCTGCCTTCTTATTTTAATCAGTGCTTCAGGAGACTGGGTGACTCCTGACTGTCCTAGTGGGGACAACATTTGTGGCTGTTGATTTTAACTTGGTCTGCTAATTCATATGCTTCTCTCATCACAGACAGCTCCACAGACCTAGCTATGTCTTATCTGCTCTTTGGGCATCTCCTTGGTCATGCCAAGTTGACATAAAAAAAAAAAGAGAGAGAGAAAGAAAGAAAAGAAAAAGAAAGTATCCTTTCTAAGCAGAGTATCCCAAGCCTGGGCTAGCTCTGGGTCTCCAGAGGCAAAAGGGAATCCCGAAACTGAGTACACTGAGCGCCTTGAAGAAAAACCCAAGTCTCCAGTGGAACCAGAGTGAGCACTCAGTGTGAGAGGTTGTTTGGAAAGGTCTGGACACAGCTGTGCCATTTAAAGGATCTGGGAGAACCAGGAAGCACAACGCTTTGGAGAAAGTGTTTGGTGACCGTGAAGCTTACACCTGAGAGTGACCAGCCCTCGCTCTTCTCTGTGAAGTCACCTCAGCTCGTGAATACTGAGGGGTTGAGGGCTCACACATGAGGCCCTGCCTGCCACACAGGAGGCCCTGGGTTGACCTCCAGCATGATCTGTTAATAAAGTCAGGATGGGCATCATCCCTGGGGAGTCTTACCCAGTCTGAAAGTCAAAGCATGACTCCTGTTCTATGTGTCAGTTAAACGATGGATTTGTTATCTGAAGCTGAGTGTTGCACTGAGAATTTTACCTGTAGTCTCTTGTTGCTTTCAG